ATCAGCAAATGATTCCGACTAAACAACAGGGTATGAGATCACCACCCACCCCCACTCCAGTACTTTATCAGTCACATCAAGTACTCCTTCAAAAAGGCAAGAACATCCTCAGCAATCGCATAACGAAATCCAGTCTTCCGATTTTATAGGCGAGTCTGCCGACCAGTCGACTATTCCACCTGCAGTAAACACAGGGTTCAGACCGGACTCTATCGTAGTTGAGAGCGGATTCAAACCAATTATTAGAGAACCACTCATGGCTGGCGAAGACAGAATAGCTGATTTTGAAGAAAACGGAAACAGACGCGAGGACACTGATGTCGACGAAGACTATGAAGACGCACCGCAATCAATACAATCCAGTAATCACCAGTACCCTCCTAGTGACAAAGTCACTGAAACCTTCGAGCCTATGTTTATCCCGTCACCGCCTGACCATCTGCTGCCCACTAGCGATAGAACTAAAGAAGTATTTCCCGCTAATCATGCCAAAGAAGATAGACCACATCCAGTGTATTTAAAAAATATCACTCAATTGGAAGATTTGTTTAGCAAGAAAAACGTAGAGAGAGAGGTTTCTAGCGATTTAATGATGGACTCGGACAGAATAAGCCCTCACTATCTACCTCCCGACCCAAAACTTCCCAAAGAGCATTCACAGAAGCTTTCTTCATCGAGCGATCAAACGTTCACTACTTATGATGGTAAAACAGTATCAGCCGCTACTCTAACGACTTTAACGAGTGTGTCCGAAGGTCCCAAAGCCCCACCTAAATTATTTTCTGCTAAGTTACCTGCTAATTATGAACAACTTTTAAAAACGCCACAGTTTGGTCCATTCAAAGGGGAAATTCCGCCTCCGGTGGCTGCTCATATAAACAAAGACGGTCAGGAGTCGACGACAGTGAACACGGTTAACACGAAGACGACACATCTCAAACTTGTTAACAAAGGCAAACAAGATGAACTAAATGCTCAAGGCAGTCACAAAGTGGAAGTGACAGAAAAATTACCACAATTTGAAGAAATTTTTGAAGAATATGAAGAAGACGAAGATGAAGCGAATGAAGATCGAAAGTTAAGAAAGCGAAGAGACACAAAAGCCACTCAGTTTGAGATGGGACACATAGAAGAAGTTCAAACAAACGGGCACAGTATGCCCAAGAATCAAGTCGATTTCGAGAACGAGAAGCACGACCGCGTCCGCGACCACGATGCGGCTCTACTGGATGACGCACGTACTGTGGCTGATGTTAAGTCTGAAGCTCGTGTAACTTACACGTGTCGATTATTATTTAATTATTTATTGGATAATATTTAGGGCTTGCCATGAAATGCATTTCGTGTTCGAGATAACGTATGTATAGTATCGGGCTTGGCTGTGGGACTCTCGTGCTGTCTTCGCTCTTGGCGCTCGGCCTCTCGTGTTTAATAATAATTATGTACTACACCTGTTACCACTTTGTTACACGCATAATGCAATTCAATACTCCCGTAGTTTTTAAGGATTTTGTAAATATTTTTATTTTCTAATAAAATTAGTTTTATATTTTATGCTAGTTTTATTTCAAGACAGCTTTAATAATATAATTGAACTTTATTAAATTATTTTCCTCTCACTCTGAGATGAAGGTAATGTCCACAGTTCAGAGGTTAGTGTACTCGTTACTATTGTTAGTGTCAGCTGGGCGCTCGAGCAGTAGCATTAGTTCTTGTGCCGCGGGCTGGGCAGCTTGAGCAGGGAGTGCACGTTGTAGATCTTCTTGGTGAGGCGCGTGAAGTTAGCCAGCGCCTTCTCGTGCGGGTAGCTGGAGTCCACCAGTCTCAGCACAGAGTCGCGACTGCGTCCGCTGCAGTAGAAGGTACCCCGTGTGGTTATGATTAGGACCTGGCATAGCTAACGTAATTAAGGAACAAGCTGTACAGCTCTTACTGGCGGTCGCGCAGTAGCCGCGCGGCGGACGTGAGCGGCAGGCCGGCGCGGTCCGCCTGGTCCAGCGCGCTGCCGCGCACCACCAGCTCCTCGATGACATCCGTGGCCGCGCTCTGGCACACTGCCGACAGTATCAGTGTAACCTCGCACTCATGTTCCGCCACTCGAGTCAAACTCTCGCATTGCATTTTATTTATTTTTCTAGTAAGAGAACAAATTGCTTATGTAACAATACCGGCTATAGGTTCTCACAGAAAGAAAAAGGGTCAGGTGATGGAGAATTGAGGATGTGTTTAGGATATTGTTTTTCTTTACTAGGCTTGTATCAATCAGTAGGTGAGCGCCGTGGCTGACAAGTATCAAATGTGCATGTCGTAAGGCTTTAATATCACGACTTCTAACCTATCAGTGGGTGGGTTTTTTTTTTAAGGGGGGAAAATCATCGAATGACTGCTCCCGCCTGGGTGAGGCGGAAGGGAGTGTCAGACTCTTACTGACTAAAAACCACCCCGTTCCTTCTCCTGCACGTCGAGCCGGAGCCCCGGTTACCCGTTAGGTTCTCCGCGACTCCGAATCGGCATCGGCCCTATTGGGCCCCATCTGTGGTGGTCTGATGGCTCTTTGAGGCGCGAGCGGAACGCGACGCGATTACCTTCGCCTCCAGATCCCCACGGCGGTGATCCGGCAAGGAGGTTCGCCGACTCTCCGGAGATCGTGCGGTATCCGCGGATCATTCGGATCGCCATGACCCTCTGTGACATGAGCAGCGTCCGAGCGGGACGCCGCAGCATGTTCGGCGCCCACACAGGGGCGCCGTAGAGGGCCATGGACCGCACGACCCCAGTGTATAACCTCCGGCAGGAGGCGTTTGGCCCCTCGAGGTTGGGGAGGATGCGTTTGAACGCAGCACCCGTCCTCTCCAACTTTGGAGCCAAACGTCGGAAATGCTCTATGAAGTTCCACCGACTGTCGAGGACGAGTCCCAGGTACTTCATCGTCGTCTCGACGCCGATGGTAACCCCTCCCGCCGTTATTTGGGACCCACCCGGAGGTGGCGCGTTTCCGCGGCCATGAAAGCACATGGCCTCGGACTTGTGGAGCGCCACCTCGAGTCCCAACTGCCGGATTCTTTCAACGACTGTCGCAACCGCTGTCGCCATTAAGTCGGCCGCCGCCTGGTGCGACCTCCCGTGCGCTAGCACCAGCGTGTCGTCGGCGTAGCATATTGTGCTAACGCCGTTCGGGAGGTCGGTATCAGTGGGTGGGTAACCTATCAGTAGGTACTAATAATAGTTATTTTTTGGTTTTTAGTTTTGACTTTTTGTTTGTTATTAGTTTTTGGTTTTTTGAAGTCGGTTTTTTAAACGCAGTTTTTATTTTATTATTTTCAGTGTAAAGCTACATACACCCGTTTTGTTACTTATAATCTACATAGGTGTAAAGTCCTCATCAATACAAATTAATCAAGCCCAAACACAAGGTATTTGAGGAGTTCCCTTAACAATTACACTTCTACATCATCAGACCCTTAATGACAGCCCCACTCTATCTAAGTGTAAAGTCTTCATCAATACAAATTAATCAAGCCCAAACACAAGGTAGTTAATATAAACCGCTAAGGAGTTCCCTCGACTGTCTGTCGGCTCCATCATCAGGTCGACTCCAGACCCTTATCAAATTGTAGTGTTTAAAAATCCTAATTGAAAAACACAATAGACGCACTACTCGCCCATAGAATTTTCAAAAGTTCCCCTCGGTTTCCCTAGGATCTCATCATCAGATCCTGACCTCATGGAAATGGTACCATCTCGGGAGTATACCCTTTCAAACAAAACAAGAATTTTAGAAATCGGTTCACAAATGACGGAGTACTGCGCGAACAAACAAAAAAAAACAATCATACATAGTACCTCCTCCTTTTTTTGAAGTCGGTAAAAAATTAACTTAATTAATAACTACAAATGATGAATATTTGTAAATATATTTAAAATATTGACTAGTGTTTACTCCTAATAACGTAAAAGGCAAATTCTAAATAGTTTAAATTGAATACCATGTACATCTACCTCTACACTACAGTAATAAAATAAAACAATTACATTAAGTATAAACTACCTCTATGCCATCAATGCCACATCTAGTAAAAATAGTTCATGTATCCAGTGATTGATTAATTTATTGGTTTATTTTTACACATTCTTATTTTTGTTATAATTTACTAGTTTGCCCGTGTTACTTGATTCTGTTCTTTGTGTATATTTATCACTTTACTCACATTTTTAAATAGTGAAAATTTGTATTTGTTCTTTTGTATTATTTTGTATTGTTTTTGTTTATATGTACGTACTACTGTGCGCTAATTATGTTTCTGCCACCGACAGAGGGTGCAAATGGAAACTATGATCATTACATGATAACTCTTAAAATCTAACTAACCTAAGAGCGAATGCGTTCGATGTTAGAACAACACTGCTTTCTTGTCTTAAAATTCATTATTATACAATTAGTAAGAAGGTTTTATTGAGGTTAAATCTAATGGGGTGAGCGATGATGCAGCAATTCGTAGCTGGGCACAAGGCGACGACAAGAGGAGACGACTCAGCAGTTCGAATATTGCAATACGTCGTTGCACCAAAGTAGGTCTAATATCCTGATTCAGGAGATATGCTCCTCGTGGCACGGTGTAGGTACATGTGTCGGCACCGATACGTAACACGCTCGTAAATTGTTTAATTTTATATGAAATATTGTTTCTCAGTAAGTGAATTATGTATGTGATTCTTTATGAGAAATAAAGATATTCTAAACCTAATGTTTCTGTGAGCAGACCATACTCACACGCCCTGAAGAGCGGCGTCCATCCGTTGTTGTCCTCGGCGTGCACGTCGCCCCCCCTGTCCAGTATGTAGCGCAGCATGTCCAGGTTGCACGAGTCCACCGCGTAGTGCTCCACGCGGAGACCGTTCGGGTCTCGCCCCTACCAACCAACGCGTTACTTTGATGAACTTCCTGCACTCCTCACTCAGCTCATAATGTGTGTGTGTGTGTGTGTTTATGTCGTGTTGTGTTATGGTCGGTATGGTAAGTAAATATGTTTAGTCAGGGTCACCTCGAAGTCCGCTCCTTGTTCCAACAACAGCTGCACGATGGGGATGTTCGCATTGAGCACCGCGATGTGCAGCGCTGATTGGCCCGTAGTTGAGCGCTGCTCGACTTCTGCACCCGCGCTCAACAGGAACCGAACTGTGTTTATATCTCCTGGCAAATTACAATTGAGTAACTTGTAACAAAAATGTTACTGTTTACTCATATCAAATAAAACATCGTTTTTAGCTTAAGTAAAAATAAATGTTAGGTATTTAATATGGCCAGTGATTTTTAATTTAGATGTACAGAGTCAATAAATAACTTAATGTTCTGCCCCCGCGCTGAGCACGGCCCACGGGTTAACTGACTCAATCTACGAAACAATTAAACTGATCGACTCATACTTGCGCTCATTTGACGAAGACTACTTCTCTCGTCAATAGTACATTAGTAAAAATAGGACATTTCGTTTATTTAGATCCATCAATGGCTGCTGTAATATTTCGACACTTATACACATAAAATGAATGTTTCAAAATTAGGACCATTTAAAGTATAGGGAGTCTACTCACCCACTATGATGTAAGGAACCGGTGCAGTTCCCCAGTAACTCGGTTGCACACATGGACACGGATGCACTCACACATCCGTGTTCCTTAGTCTGTACTAAGGAACACGGATGTGTTACCTTACCTTACCTTAGTATGTATATAAGTCGACACCGACGTGTATATATGTATACCTTTCCTGACAGCGGTGGCGAGCGGTGTGAACCCATTCTTGGAGTTGATGATACCTATCAGCGCCGGCCGCTCGTCCAGCATGCCCTGCACCTGCACACGTTGTTACGTTCATAGTATCACGAACACTTATCATTCTGTAAATTGAAGGGGAGAGTATACATATATCATAGTGATAGATATATCATAATTTTTTATTTCACTCAAAATAAGCCAACGGTTACACAATTTTGACATACAAAAATACATCCATATATGATATATTTGGTGAAATTATGCCAATAATAGACATAAAGGTTCGATAATGGCGCACCTGCTTGAGGTAGCCACAGCGGACGGCCATGCAGAAGCAGACGGCGGAGGTGCCGTCCGTGTCCGTGCTGCTCCACGTCAGCCCCGACCACTGGGACTCCAGCCACTTGTGACCAGCTGTCCTCACAGCAACTGACCTGCACAGATTATACTAGGTGACCCATTAGTTGTAGTAATAATAATACTTAGGTACTTTCATCATAAAGAAATAGTCTAACCAGTTCCGACAAACTATAATCATTTGTCAAAACACAATGTTTGCTCATCAAATCAAATCAAATCAAAATCATTTATTTGCACAAAACATGCCAGGTAACAAGATGTTGAATACAATGTTTGTGTACAGCATGTTTTGCCGTGGAACATAGGGCGCAAAAGTATTTTTAAATGAAATAAATTAATATGAATGAAGGTCGTAAGCGGTTGGTGTTTCGGGTGTGCATGGGCGGCGCCGATTGCTTACTTGCGTCAGGTAATCCGTCTGTTCGTTTACCGGCTCATTCCATAAAAACACATTTCTTCCCTGGTCTCGTGCTCAAACTATAGTGCACTCAAACTGGTTCAGTGGTTTAAGCGATAGAGACTCCCGGAATTTTGACGCATAATTCCTGTCCCGTAGGATTTCCGGGATAGAACGATCATACGTCCTTTCCATGTCAGTGTCTCAAATTCTCATTAGAACCGAATTTCTATCAAATAGCGTCAGTGGTTATAAATAGTAGCATTCAGTGTCCTTGCATACCCTAATGTTATACCATGATGACAAACAAAATTGTCAATGATCCATTGACATGAAACTTCAATTTTTTTAAAATTGGTTAGATGGCATAGAAATGTATACTTAATATTATTTTGAGGGTGTCTTGTTGATTTGTTAGAAATTGACGTGATTTATTTATTGAACTAGCTGTTGCCCGCGACTTCGTCCGCGTAGATTAATGACTTCTGACAGAACTAACCAGAATCAATTCAGTGCCCAAGTAAGATTTACCTATTTTGAAATGATTTATCGTAGTTTCAATAAATAAATAATCCCGCAGGGATTTACAGTACAGTGCGATACGTAAGGTTTGAGTATAAAAAATATTCTATCGACTATTATTGTACCGAATCTCTCTCTAGAATAAGTTCAGTGGTTAAGAGTTAGAGAGTCCTGGGGCATTGACGCATAGTTCCCGTTCTCGTGAGACATCTGTGAAAAAACTATCATACGTTACCCAGGTCCCAATCGTTTTACCGAATGTAATTCAAAAAGATTCAATGATTCTAAATCAATGGCTAAGAAGATTTTCTACAAACTCTCATTCCCTATTTTATCCCCTTAGGGGTGGAAATTATCAAAATCCTTTCAAGCGGATGCTACGTCAAACTCTATCTGCATGCCAAATTTCCACCCGATCGGATTTAAAACTGACAGTCACATACAAACTTTCATCCCCTATTTTACCCCCTTGGGGGTGGAAATTATCAAAATCCATTCACAGCGGATGCTTACGTCAAACATCTATCTGCATGCCAAATTTCAACCGATCGGTTTAAAACTGACAAAGTCTCACACAACTTTCATCCCCTATTTTACCCCCTTGGGGGTGGAAATTATCAAAATCCATTCACAGCGGATACCTACATCATAACATCTATCTGCATGCCAAATTTCAACCCGATCGGTTTAAAACTGACAAAGTCTCATACAAACTTTCATCCCCTATTTTACCCCCTTGGGGGTGGAAATTATCAAAATCCTTTCACAGCTGATGCTTACGTCATAACATCTATCTGCATGCCAAATTTCAACCCGATCGGTTTAAAACTGACAAAGTCTCATACAAACTTTCATCCCCTATTTTACCCCCTTGGGGTGGAAATTATCAAAATCCTTTCACAGCTGATGCTTACGTCATAACATCTATCTGCATGCTAAATTTCAAACCCGATCAGTTAAAAACTGACAAAGTTTCATACAAACTTTCATCCCCTTTTTTACCCCCTTGGGGGTGGAAATTATCAAAATCCTTTCACAGTGGATGCTAACGTCATAACATCTATCTGCATGCCAAATTTCAACCCGATCAGTTAAAAACTGACAAAGTTTCATACAAACTTTCATCCCCTTTTTTACCCCCTTGGGGGTGGAAATTATCAAAATCCTTTCTTAGCGAATGCCTACGTCATAACATCTATCTGTATTCCAAATTTTAGCCCAATCTGTCCAGCGGTTTGGGCTGTGCGTTGATAGATCACTATGTCAGTCAGTCAGTCAGTCAATCACCTTTGAATTTTATATATATAGATGTAGATAGTTGAAAGGATTGAAAGTAGCATGGGCTACATATTGTTTCAGTACAGTAGTCCATGAATAAAATGTAATTTGTTAATTAAATTTGTATTTTTTTTTAAATTTTTGATTCTGATGCAGCTAAATACTATTATTAGTCCTTGTATATATAGTATAGTATGTATATTTATATAGTATAGTAATAGTACCCTGAAAATAGTTTTAAAGGACTAATAAACTAATAATAGTCTACTAAGACAAATCGGTCCGGTAGTTTCGGAGTCTATTCAATTCAAACAAACAAAAAATCAAATCTTTCCTCTTTATACTATTAGTGTAGATGAGTAAGTATGGTAAACGAATACGTGTCAATATTGTGAATACTGATTGTTTGCTACGGACTGTATGGTACCGACTTACTTAGTTTGCTTCTGCTCATCGTCTACTGCTTGTACTTTAACGTGATCACTAGATGGAGCGGCGTCCATGACTGTACCGTCACCTGCACGGGTGACTTCAGTAGCAGTGTCGCAGCTGTCGTTGCCGTGTCCGAGTCCCTTCATGGCCTCGTACACAGCGGCCTCGCCCCCGTAGTACTGCAGGGCCCGCGCTGCGAGGCCCGGCACTGCCGTCGCCTGCACGATCACTCTCAGTCGGAACTTGTGGCAGTGCCTCGACGCCAGGTTGTCTATCTCCTTTGATGTTTTGCCGCCTCTACAATGTATGAATGCTTCTGTTTCTTATTGTTGTTATAATGCGCCCTACTCAATAAGGTACAAGTAATGTCTGTCACCTGTAGACAACTACCCACGGAGGTATCTTCTCATTCTTCTCCAGCCTGTAGAGCAGCTCGTCGCTGATGAATTGGAACGGCTCCACGTTGTGCCAGTCTAGGGTGATGGAACATTTTGTTCTCTTCAGCACTTTGGGCTCCGGCGGCGACCACTGTGTGAACTTGTCAATTAGGAACGTTTGGAGGTCCATTCTGATTGCTACTCAACTATCGCGAAGAACAAATGAAACCAACAACGGAGCAATAAGAAAACTTGTATTCATATTTGCAAAGTTCCACTTAGACAGTTACCACGATTGTATTCACTACCTGTGTACTATGTGTACAATATATTATTTATATTTTCAAAGTCTTTGTCACTATGGAGAAATAATGATCTTGTTCTTTGATTAATTACATTACAATAAAGTACAGAAACAGTAAGTACAGTGTAACACACAGGAATCTGTGGCACTAGTGGCCCGTGCAGCGGGAGCTGGTTACCATCGCATCGACTGTCGTTTGATCGATGCTCACCGGCCGCGCTCTGCTCCAGACCTGCCTTGTCAACGAACTGAACACAAGAAAAATAATAAATTCTCATTTTGAAGAAATATATGTACAACTGACCGTTTCAGGAAGAATAAAGATGTTCCCATCTTCCAAAGCACATTATTAAAGTAATATCATCTACTCGATGTAATAATATCGTTATTTCATTCTTAATGTAGTGTTAAGTATATTTAGTTAATATAATTTGAAATAAGAATTGATTATTGTATAAAGTGGTCACCTAAATAAAGGCAAAGTAGAGTAGGTAATATACGTACAATCATACATAGGTACATATCTGCATTGTTTTCTTATTCATAATTTGTAAAGGTTTCATAATTTGTAAGACTTCAATTAACGGGGAAAGGTGAGCAATTTGAAGTAGTAAGTTGTTGTTGTACCTCGGGGTCGTGAATTAGTTAGAAACTTGTATAATTTTGTATTTATGAGTAAGTAAATATTTTTTTAGGTAGGTACCTACTTGTATTGTCTTGAAACAGAGCAAATAAAATAAACTGCCAAGACTGGTAATGTAGTGATGTACTGGTATCATGGCGGCGGATATTAGGTAAGTCATTCATTTTATGACGTGTTGTGGTGCAGCAGCACAGCGCGCGCTCGTCACTGCCGCAGGAGAAGTGTTGGCGACGAAGATAAATGTGCACCCTGGAGGTGGAGGGGAGGGGGGGGGCTGGCTTGTGTAACGCGGGATCTCCGGATTGTTTACACGTAGGATTAGGATTTCATGCAAAAATGGAATATTAACCGTCACCATTGAACGGTATTCCAAAAAAAGTTGATCACTTTCGTCTTACGTTATATTAGGTTTTGGTCGATCTGTCAGAGTCTGGTAGAGTCTAGCTACACAACTTATGTATGCCTTATATCTGCAGTGAGTGTAATGACACGCATGCCACCAAACACTCCTCCGCTGCAACTAATTAAAATTGACCAAAAACCTCCAACCATACTCGCTCACAACGACATACAGCTAGATGTCGTTGTGAGCGACAGAGGCCCGCGTGCAACACATTGCATTACCTACATTCCTGCACAGACGTGTAAACTGTAGCAGTATAGAGCTGCACTGCATCAGCTGTTCGACGCGAGCATTTTCCTAATCGAGCGTGTCCTTGAGAACACAAGTAAACAATCGAGTCAGCGCGCGGTCTGCTCGCTGCTCGCTGCTCGTGGTATCGCACTTCCGAAGTGGACGAGTGATACGCGCGGGATCCAACACCATCGAACGGGTACATCATGCAGTAACTGCGTCTCTACAGTATTCTGCATCCAGTTAATGAAAATATTTCCTTGCATTACGAGACTCCAGGCAATGTCTATCGTTGGCACATCGCAATAATTTCAGTGCCACGAAAAATACGTCATAAAAAGTAACATTGGTTCGAAATGATTGGTGTAAAGGAAACGTAACGCGGCGGTGGCGGGGCTATCGATCGACGCGACCAGTCGGCGCCGGGCCTTCGCGCGGGACGCACGTATCGCGGCCGCCAGCCACACACGAATAACCTCTCTGACTGTGGTCACTCGCTCCGAGCGCGCGACGGCACACGCATCGACAGCTCTCGGTAAGTACCAGACCTCTACTCCACTATACCCTGCAGCAGGCTCGTCCTGCGAGGATATCGAGCGTGAGCTTCAAAACAAAATATTATCTATACAGTAAGTGTGCACGTAATGTATAAATATACAAACAAATGCTCGTCTGTGTCGAATTAGCGCGTCCTGCAGTAGCGAGCTGCCAGTGTCGGCTACTGGCGCCAGCTGGCGTGAGCTGCAGGCGCTGCAGGCGCTGCACGTGAGCAGTATGTAGTGTGTGTGGTGTGTGGTGCTGTGAGTCACGCTGCGCTGACGTTCTGTTGTACAACAGTAGGTACAGCAGGCCGCGCGCCGCGCGCCGCGACCGACGGATTCGCGCGCGTTTTCGTGTTTACCAGCTGATGGTTACTACGACCACACTGTGCACTATGAATGCTTCTCCTTTCAGAATTATCTAGATGGGCTCCACTCGACTTCAACTTTCCTTTCACACACACACACGTCTACGTAATAACTGTTGTTGTAGTCTCTATGTTTACTGTTTACCTCGACATCTTCATATTTACGCAAGTTATTATTATAAAACACTGGTACTGTGTGTTATACGTTAGTATTACATATATTACTGTTTTACTCAGTAAGTATAATTTCCGTTTATAATGTGATTAGATAATCACATTATAAACGGAAATTATTTATTAATGTTCGTTAGCTCCTGCTGAACTATTCTGAGCAACGTTGCGTAAATATACGTCATGTATGTATGTACTGAGACTCCATGAGTACGTACTTCCAACGCCCTCCAATGATTAGCTCCACGACATGCTGGTGGTCGGCACTGAACAATTAACATAAATAAGTAGCTGGAGCACCATTACGTCGGGTTTACGTTCATTTGGGCGCAAAGCAATCGTCCTAATCGGTGGCCATAATATATTTTGATCGGCGACCCGAGTCCCTGCCCGCCTGACCCGAGGGTACCCGTGCGGCTGGGCACGGGTACTTCTGCCCGGGCAATTACCGAGCAAACAGTTTTTACCGGCACGCGAACGAGAAGCGACAGGAGTACCACTCACACGATCTGGCACCGGCCAGAGATAGCAATTGTCAGCTGGTGGACACAGCCGCTCGCCCTCCCTAGTCTCGCCGGTACCATGACTGTGTGATCTGCTGTGTGTTGCTCTCTGGGAGACAAAGCACAACTCCTCAGGACACAGCCACGAGCTACTGGGAGCAGTTCCGAGCAGTGGTTCTCCATGTTTATAGACACAGAGCTATCCGATGTACTGTCTTTATCATCATAGTCACTATCAGCCACGGAACGTCCACTGTCAGACGCAGGCTCCCCCAGTGACTTCCAGATCGGTTGGTTGGGAGCTACTTGATTTACTGGAGGTAGTTACAGATACCAAAATTGCATCAAGGTACTTAAGACCACGGAGTTGTCTACCACATGACTAAGTACAAGTATGAGTAGTACGAGTGAGACACACACACACACACACACACACACACCCTCACACACAGTGCCGCGCGTCTAGGATTACACACCATTACTCACTCAGCCGCTCAAATGAAAGACTCTCACTTCAAACTCTGCAATTACTAGGCGATATGAATTATAATAATTAAACCGCCAGCTGTCTACCTAAAATGTGCCTTATGATCAAGATTCTGAGATACATTTTCGCATGTGATGTGCATGTTAATTAGAGCCGCTAGTTCGGGAGGGGCCGCGAGGGCTGACCCCAGCATCAGACGTTGGGAAAAACAATTGAATGAAGGGGAATATTTTAGATTTCAAACAGTCTACCGTAGGTATTGTCGCAGACTGCGCTCAGCTCGCGGCTCCGCCTGCGTCGGCCGGGCAAACATTTGTAGAGGTAATGGGGGCTAAAGTATTTTTGCTTACCAGGTGGCCCAAATGTAGGACGGGGGCCTGTTACAGCAGTTATCAAATAAATCTGCGTATTGTCAAGAGCTGTCACGTAGTTAGCTATACAAAGACATCGATACACACATTGGAGCTGTAACATCGCGTCGCATGAGATAAATCACTTTTTGTTATACCTGAATAACTATAAGTTATATCTCGCGTTCCACGAGAGAATCGACCAACAATCGATACAACACCACCCGTGCAGTCATACCTAGTTGATATTTAAAATATTCAAATGCATCGTTCAATCATAGCTCGGCTCGCACCGTGACTGACAGCAATATATTATTGTTCTCCTTTACTCTTACTGAAATGTTGAAATGACTAAGAAAAATGGATGACCTAGCTAAGATTTCACTTTACGCAATAGTTCTGGTAACGAGGTCGGCAGCGCGCGGCCCACTGTACGTCACCGGGCGCACTCCATCACGTGGACGTTGCGGGTACAGAGTACAGAGACAAGGTCTGCTGCCCTTTGTCAATTTCATCAGAGAGTGACCAGACAGGCGCGAACAATAATCGCTTTCGTTTATTACCCGACTGTTGGTACCTAGTATCTAGTTCTGCCGAATCTAGTGACTGCCTCGTTGGCCAAGTTATGTGCACCTCGCCTACCCCTTCGGGGATAAAAGGCTTGGTGTTATGTTAATGGTGTTAGTACCTACATTTCCCAACACTCTTTAAGTGCAGAAATTTTCCCTCTGCGGTTTCAGAAGAAAATGACTACCAGATACAACAACAATAATTGTTACTATCGGTACACATCAAATATGTACTTACTCTTCTACTGCGCTGTTACGTTCGATGCAGAAGTAATAACATAAAGTCAAAGTCAAATCATTTATTTCACGATAATTTGGTACTTTTAAAACGTCAACAAATATAAAATAAATAATAGTCTGTCATTCAGTCCGTCAGTGAAGCTAGGTGAAGCTAGGTGCTCATTCCAAAATAAATTCGAATGGAGAAGAACGAGAAAGAAACTCCAATCGTTACTCTTTTTAAAAAAAGTATGTTCTACAATGTCTCTGATACATATTCCAATATGTGAGAACAATGCAAAGACACGCTTGACGCATTGTACTAATTATAAAACTTACTAAAATAAAAAAGTAAAACAAATATAAAAAACAATCTTATAGTCTGACATGGTGCTCGCACATGCATACTGACAATCTACAAAAATAGTGCTTCT